CCATCAATGGGTCTGTTGACATGGCTCCGAATCCGAGAACATCGATGGGTTCTGATGGTATAATCGGAGGCAGAGAGGCATAATAGTGAGACCGACAAAGTAACGATTGGTCGAGGACGAGGAGAGTACCAGCGAGAGGATGATTGGATTTGTGGGAAACTTCAATTACTGTGATTGTAGAGGAAGAAGAGGCGAAAACCGGCGAGAGGATGATTGAATTTTGGGCAAAATTTGATTACTCCGATGTAATTGCGGCGAGATTTGAATTCGGCGATGGTTTTGACTTCATCGGCTGATTTCGTCGTCGTCCTGGAATGTTTTTATCGCAGTGAGTGTGGGTGGTTGATCGGCGGAGAAATATTAGATTTTGCGGCTGGTCACTTGCTCGATCTGATTGCTTTAATGGACGATTTCTCTGCTGCACCCATCACAGCATCATATATTCTAGTCTCTATGCACCAGACAAGAGAGACTGAGGTTGCCTAGAAGCTGCTCGAACGGTTAGATCCACTGAGTTTGTTTACAGATTCCTTTTGTTTGCTCTACAATGATACAAACACTGCTTGCTAAATTACTGTTCAATGAGTGAGATATATTAGCTATTATGTTCGTTATGTATTGTAGTTTCAATGGGGAGATATCTTAGAATTAGTGTAAAAGATCAGTAATTTACATGATTGAACATTAATATAGACTTGTTAATCGAGGGGGTGATCTTTGAAAGCTATTAATGAGTTGGGCATCATGCTAGTATATAATGTTCTTTTATGTATCATGTCTCAATGTAATTTCATTACGATGGAAAGAATCTCTCATGGGTGATGAATCATATGATTTGGTTATTGGAATACTATTTTAGACAGGGTAGAATGACGAAGCCATGATGAAACTAATGGACATGGTGCTAAGATCTGGTTATATGTTATCAACCACAGTTTTTAGTGATTGTGTAGCCAAAGGTAGGACATATACATTGGTTTCTATCATCGAGAGGTGTAAGGTACATATGAGTTTTGTTGTATTTGGTTTATGTTTGAAGCATTTTCCGTCCCTTCTACTGGTTGTAATTATGTTCTTGTCTTGCAGGTGCAGGCTGTTGATTGGAACAAGTCCCTATGCACTAGTCGGATACTGTGTAGTTATGTGGCAGAAGTTGCAATCAAGAGGATAATAGCAAATTAGCATTTAGTGCGTTAGAATTTATGTTCAAGTGGATCACTAGGGGCGAAATGGCTAGGCCATGTTTTACTAAAAAATGAGAACAAATGTTTCAATTTTGCAGATATTTGTTTCATTGTTTTATCTCCTTTGTGTCATTCTTGACTTTGGTTTATAAAGGAATCAAGTTATCCTGTGAAAAAAGGATACATATTACAGAATAACAGTATCAAGCTCCAACTATAAATCAACCACAAAAATMAGAACACAGGGAGGAAGAAGAAGAAAACCAT